CCATCAGTTGCTGGTTTGGGTTTATATGTCAAATATGTCATGGTCCTGGAGGAGGAATTTTACTTTCTCCCGTCTCACAAATTTGAGGTGACCCTGGGGTCACCTCACTTTCTGAACTGACTGGATAAGAGTTGGACTTTTATGTAGTATAATGGAAAAAATGGGCAGACAAGGAGGTTTTCACTGGACAATGACCCATGACTTCATATTATTTGACTATCTCAATAATTTTTGTGTGCGCCTATTTGTTATTTATGGGGCAAATCCTATTGAAGGCTTCCTGGCAATGAGCTCAGTGCAGGGGAGGAGTGGCTGACATGCAAGCACTGTATAATGCAGAGACCTCTTTCAAGCTTAGTGTCTAGAAGGCACGGATGGGTAGGTACAGGGTGAAGTAAGCTTGAACATTCAACATAATATGCTTGCTTCAGTATTGAGCTGAGACAGTTGTTTCAAAAGATACTGCCTTAGGAGAGTATGGTTTCCTTCTCTGTTTTCACATATTTGCCCTTAGCGTGGCACAGGTATATGGGCTCATCTTCGGCCCATCCATGGATCTGTTCCTTTGTTATCTGCTAGATGCACATGCCACATACTTTAAAAAATATCATTAGTCACTTTTTTAGACTTCCTTGATGCCAGAATTTGTAATTTGTTGTATGATAACTGCATTTTATTTCCAAAATAGATTCTAGATATTTTGCTTTCAAGTGTACAAAGTATTTTTAACTTACACTGTAAATCTGTACTTACTCTTCCCATGCTCTTAGCAGAGAAAGGTAAAACTGTAAGCATTAATTTTCCTTTTCCATGTTTCCCTCATCTCTCTTTAAGCTTCTCAGCAGAAGCTTATTTATTTGTAACTGGTGTAATGTCATGGGATATGACATTGCTGTAACATTGCCTAATTTATTATGAGAAGACATTATTAAAGACCCCATTTAATTCACCATTCTCATTGAGAAAGCTAGCAAACATAAACTGTAGTATATTAGTATACACACTATTTCTGTATTTGCTTTGGCTTCCCTGTTCCATCAATTGAGTGTGCCACAGAAGTTAGTAAGCCTGCTTCTGGAGAGAAGATAAAAACCACACTGCCTGGGAATTTCTATACGCAAAAGTCACTTTTATAGATGATGGGTCCATAGGACAGTGGGGATGATAAGGAAGGAAAAGGCGCCTTGGCAGCAAGGATGTAGGATATTCTGATCCTTTTCCAGACCCTTCAGGGATTTTCTGAGTGACTTTGGGAACCATTTGACCTCTCTTTTTTTCTCACTTTCTCATTTGCAAATGGGATACATATTAATTGCTTCATGGGGATGTTGTGGGGTTAATTATGTGAGGTTAAATATGAACATTGATTAATGTTCATAAAGAGTTTTGGGATCATCAGACCGAATGTGCAAAGGGGCCGCCTTAATAAAACACTGAAACACGAAAATGACAAATAGTTAATCACTAGAATGGTTCACCAAGGGTTACAATGCCTTGTCCTTCACTGTAAATATTTTAAATGAGATTGCCTGTCTGCCTAACATGTATACTGTAATTCATTCACAGCTACAGGACCAAGCTAGAATTAATCAGGAGAAATCCTGTGTTCTACATTTATACCTCAGGCCAAATCAGAGGATCACAATGGCCTCTCTGTCCTTAAAACACATTTTGTTGCAGGTCTGCCCTCTCACTTAGCTATATTTTGGAGCAGGTATTGAATCTGAAAGCAAGACAGTCTGCAGGAGTGTAGAGGTCAGAAAACTTCTGTTAGGACAAAGAAATGCTTTAAAAAAGCAGTATCTTCTGCTATTTTTTATTATGCCCAACATGATGAATTATGAAACTGGGCATTACAAAACATTACTGCATATGACACTACCTTGTTTCCAGTGACAATTTTTGCTTCCACAAACTTTGCTTTTTACTTTAGCTCAGTAACTATTGTTTACATCTAATTATGAGTTCTTCTTATTGGCAGGGTAAAGAAGTGGAGACAAAACTCATCAGTCTGTCAAGCAGTGCTTCAGTAGATAAGATTGGTGTGGAGAGAGGACCAACATCATTTTCAAATGGATATGGGTGGCAGGTGAATAATAAACATGTTGCTACAGATATCATTATTCAAGAGAGAGAAAATGATCTTGGGAGAATGGGAAGCTGGGGTTTGCTATTGAATACTACTATCACATGGTTCTTTGATAACTGTTCATTCTTCTACAATTAACTTCACTGTTATAAGTTTACCTATCTTACAGGTGATTTTTTTTCTTTACTTACTAATTTTTTAGGTTCTGAGTAGTATTAGTATCTAACAACATATTAAGCCCTTTAGGTGTGTAGATTTAAACAGAATCTTTATTTAAAGATAAATTGAAGAAAAGGAAGTTCAATTCTGGAATAAGAATCTTTTTATTACTTGTAAAATTCATATCCTGAAAGAATTTGGTTTAGGCTTGAGTTTTGTTCTGCTCATACGTCAAAAACTGAAGCTGAACACATTTAGGAAATCTAGGCATTTGAATAGTAAATCTGACAGAAAATAGCTGTAAGGAAAAAAAAGGCCAAATAAAAGTACAGTTCCCATACTGATTTTGGAGAGTAACCTAGAACTTACACAGAACCTGAACTGTAGTTCTTCCAATGTAAAGAGCAACATTTGTTCCTTAGAAAAGGAAAGGATAACAACTCCAGCTGATTTGCCTTTAGTGGTAGCAGCATTCTGCTGGAGACGGCAGGCAGAAAGAACTGTGAGGCTAATGAGACCTTTGACTATTTGAGAAAGGACACACTGGAAGGATGTGGCAGGGAGATAAAATCAAGTCCTCGATAGCACAAAAGACTGATATTTTGGGAGGGGAAAGGTCTGCGTCTGCTGTATTTAAGTTTTGAAGACAAAAGGAGAGAGAATAGGACTCAGAAAAGGGATGGAGAATAGATGAATGCAAACATCATATCTGTCAAACTTGCTTAAATTGCATTTCATGGTGTTGTGAGATTTGCTTATTTGCAGCAATACCGTTTTTCCCATTATTCCAGTATTATTATGACAAAACTTCTCTTCTTAATAATTGTGATTATTCAATAACAGGGATATAACATAAACAATTTTTTTGTCTCACTGTTGAAATGGACCAGGAACTACCAGTGATATGGTCTGGAGGCTGATGTTTTTTAATGGTTCTTGCAGGCTTCCTGGTCCTATTCCAAGTACATAGAAGCCTTGGAGCAGGAAAGAATACTCCTTAAAATGCAAGAAGATCTGGAGAGAAACTCATCATCATTCTTTACAGGTTGTTAACCAAGCTCTGTAGTTTCGGAGGGCAAGCTTATAGCTTAGGTGAAATTCTCTCAGTATAAGGACTTTGTTTGCTCTCCTTTGGAGTTGCATACATAAACCTCTGCCTCTCTTATGCTGTCTGCAAGGGAGTTGCTCTCTGCACCACACTTGTGAGTAATAAGTTTTATAAGAAAGGGAAAGTGAAAGTTGCAGGGTACCAGTATTGCCTTTACTGCACAGATACTACTGCAGAGAGGAATATAGCCATTTCTTCATTCTGCAGAGTGACATGGCAATCCTATTTGGTTCACATACATATTTCACCTCCCTGGCTTCTTGCACTTCATCAACTTATGTACAACCAGAGAGATGAAACTTTTTTCTCACCAGTTTGTCAGTATGCTTTCGGGGGATGTAAGAGACATTGCTTCACCCTTGTTTCAGCCGTGAAGATCCTCTTAGGTCTTCCCCAAGGATATTATGACCTGTTTGTTCATTAAATAACTCCATTTATAGAATCATAGAATCGTTTAGGTTGGAAAAGATCTTTAAGATCATCCAGTCCAACCATTAACATAACATTACCAAGTCCAACACTAAACCAGTTAAGGGTAGAGTAGCAATTTCATGTTTCCTGGCTTGGTGGATGGATTATTTATAATGAAAGTAAAAATGAGGAATCAATAAGATTGGAAAGGATCTCTAAGATCATCAGT